AAAGCTGCAGTTTTGCATTCGTCACCGCAAAAACCACACTTGGCAGAAGGCTGGAAGCCACCCGCAGCGATTGGGGGGGGGTGGGTGGACTGGTGGCCTGAACCAACATTTCCCACCCCTAGTGTTAATTTTAATTCTATCATATCAAATAGAACACGCAGGCGCTCGGCTGGGTGAGCTCAAAAGCCTGAGCAGGGCCAGAAATCTCTGCGAGAATGACGCCATGCAGCCAGAATTATGGGATGTGGGTCAGATCCAGGCTTGGCTGTGGCTCTCTTCTCCCCAGTGCTGAGCAACCAGCACTGAGATAGAAGAAGCTCTTTTCATCTTTCTAGGGTGGAAGTGACAGACGTAACCAAATGTAGGGAAATGAGCTTCCAAAAGAACATGCCAACTTTTACCCGTTGTCCCTGAGGATTTGGCATCAACTGAAGCCATTTGCTTCACATTTCACCTTTCATCCAGAGACGAGGAAAGAGGAGATGTGGAGCATCACATCTTGACCTCCTGTTATCCCAACAACCTTGTAAGGTAGGTTGGGGGAGAGGGAGAAGGAGAGGCTGGTGACCCCAAGCAAAGTCAACGGGTGGAAGTCAGGTGCAATTAAAAAACGGGTGATTTACTGAATAATTGCAACAAATAAGGTGGTGACATTGGGCGCCTCTCACTCTGTGGCTCAGTTGAATGGAAGTTCTGGTCCCAGGTATAAGCAGAAGACTGAGGGTGGAGCTGAACCCCCTTATCTGCACTTTAGCCCAACCTTGGAACCCAACGCCAGGCTGTCTCCCACTCCCTCCCTCCCTCGCGTCTCCCCTGCATGAAATTAGTTTTATAAACTTTTTGAGCTGACAGTGTTCTGAAGACAAAAGGAGGAGAAGGAAGTAGAGGAGGAGGAGGAGGAAGAAGAATGAAAAGGAGGATGAGAGGGAGGATGAGAAGGAGAAGGAGAGGAGGAGGAGGAAGGAAGGAAAAGAAGACGTAAGGAGGAGGAAGGAAAAGGAGGAGAAGGAGAAAGATGAGAAGGAGAAGGAAAAGAAGAAGGAGAAGAAGAGGAGGAGGAGGAGAGATGGAACTGAGCTTCATTTTTTTAAAATACAGCATTTAGCCAAGTGAAGCGTTTGCACAACAAACATTTGCTAATTTTAAGCCTGGTTCACGCATTATATTCCACCCGATTTCCTCTGATCCAGATTTACAAGCTTGACATGACACCTTAAGCTCCGGTTCCTCAGGTTTTGGCAAGATGCTGGCTTGGGGGAGGAGGGGGGATCCTGGGATTTGAAGTCCAGACATCTCCAAGTTGCCAAGGTGGAGGAGAATCCCTTCCTAAGTCAACACCAAGCGGGGGTGGGGGGATTTACTCTCCTGGGGAGCTCAGTCCTCGTGCAAGGTGTTCCAACAGCCCATCATCCAGTACAAGGGAGGCCTCCGGACTGTAACTCCACCCTTACTCAGCACACGTGGAGGGCGCCACCGGTAGAGACGGCCGATGCCAACATCACTGGCAAGGGAGCAAACAAAAACTTACGACTTATGCAAGGAAGTTCCCCCTCTCGACGGTCCCTCCGTGGAAGGGGGGGACGCAGTGGCAGTTGAGGCAGCAGCAGCTAACAACCCCCCCCCCACAAATCCCTTGGCAGAGAACACCCACATCTGTCCAGGCCCCATTCAATCCCATCTGTCCGCCCCATGGAAATCGGGGAGACAAACGAGTCTTTGAGGCAGAAGAAAAATGACCAGAAGATTGGGGAGACAGGCAGGGGGGGGGGATAAAAATGAATCAGGCATTCTGGGAAGCCACCCGAGATTAGTCACAAAGCATCCGTCTTCCCGTCTCAACAATAGCTGCTGAATTTTGACCGAATCCCAGCTGTCATTCTTTGAATGGGGAGGGGGGGGAGCCAAGGTTTTAGAGTAGAGAGTCCAGGGTAGGTTTGCTTCTGGGAGCAAAAAAAATCCAATCACCCATTTTTATAGGAGTGTGTGGTGTCTGTTTATGCATATGTGTGTGTGTGTGTGTGTGTGTGTGTGTGTATGTGTATGTATGTTGTGGCATGCATTCATCAGCATTCATCATCACCAAGGAGCCGAGCTTTTGTTCTGTTAAATTGCTCTCATGCTGATTAATTTGCTGAAGGGGTCTCCAGCCCTCTCCTGAGCAAACTAGCAAAGCACAGAAATGGGGGGGGGGGAATAAAAGAAAGGGGGCCTGCCTCCCCCCACCCCCCTTCACCTCCTCCCCACACACCATTGGGATCAGAAAAGCCACTGTCTCACCACAAGCCAGCTTTCTCATGGGAGAAACCTCAATGCTCAAGAACTGATTTCCTTCACTTCTAGCCCACCTTTTCCTTAGACCCTTCAGAGACTCCTCACATCCTGGACATAAATCGCTTCAACTCCTACCCTCCAAACGAGGCTATACGGCACTGCACACCAGAAGAACCAGACAGAAGGACAGTTTTCCCCCCCAAATACCATCACTCTGCTAAACAAATAATTCCCTCAACACTGTCAAACTATTCACTAAGACTGTATTGCTATTATTCTTCTCATCCTTCCTAGTCCCTATCTCTTCCCACTTATGGCTATAACCATGTTGCTTCCATCTTTACAATTTATATTGTTTTATTTGTTTCCTATTACCATTTGATTGCTTATTAGTAATCTACGATTATCACTAAGTGTTGCATCTTATGATTCTTGATGAATGTATTTTATTTTTCTTTATGTACACTAAGAGCAAATGCTCCTATCACACTTGGCCAATAAAGAATTATATTCTATTCTATCCTATCCTACCCTACTCTATTCCATTCCATTATTCTACCCCATTCTATATTCTATTCTACCCCATCCCATCCCATTCTATTCTTAGGAGCACAAAAGGATTTGTGAAAATTCACTGTAGCCACAAAACAACTCGCTGCGGGATGAGACTTACTAATATCAAAGAAATGGTGGAACAGAATCATTAAAGAGAAGATGCAAAAGGAGGGACAGAATCTAAATGTGAACAACAACATTAAAATATTTTCTTCTCTAATTTGAAGAATTAAACTGAATTGTTAAACCGTCCGTCAGCAAGTTGGCTGCGGCAAGTTGTCCCATTCTGGCACAACATACTACAAACGTTCCCCCTCCCATTTCCCCCCTGTAACAATCAACCTGTGAGATCGGCAGGTAAGTCACACAATGGTTTTTCCATGGTTGACAACAGCTTCAAACCAGGCTTTTCCTGGTCTCAGTTCACCACCTAGCCATAATGCCCACCGATTCTTGCTTCGGTTCCATTTAATTCCCATGTAGTTCACTTATACTGACAATTCTACTTCCCAAACATACTTACCTAGATTGAAACTACTGTAGGTAGACCACTTTCATATTTCCTTTAACAGCAAAGTCAAAAAGACAACATTGCAAGCTGACTTTTTCATCCATCCATTTGGACAGCGTTGGTTTTTAACCTGAGGGCGGTTGACACCCATTATGGAGTCAGCTAGGAAAGCAACCACTTGCAAAACAACAACAACAACAACAACAACAACCACCCAGGGCACCAAATTCTGCATCATATTCTATGATGTTCCTTGAAGGCATCATGATTTAGAGATAGGATTGGATTGGAACAGCCTTCCCTGGCCTGGAGCTCTCCAGCTGTGGTGTAAGAGCCCCCATATTCGTTAGCCTGAGGAGGTGCAATCCTGTGATGTCTGAAAGGAACAAATCCAGGAGCCACCAGATTAGCAGAAGCCATTCCAGTTCATGGGGCTCATGTTCCAGTGGACTCGTCAACAAGTGATCTAATCAACAGCAGAACTTCACAACCTTCCGTGTCCTTTTTGGGTCAAACAGCATTTGCTAGAAGGAGCATAAAAGACCTTGTCCAGGCATTGCTAGATATTGCAAGCTCTCAGTTGCCTTAAGAGGAACTGCATCTCCCTCATAAAATGGAGGAAAACCCCAACACTCAACATATCACAGCCCTACAGAGTGGCTCCGTGTTCTTTCAAACACCCCCTTCCATCCAGCCTTCGGCTTCCAAACCTTCTCCAGTCTCCCCACAGACAGAAAGCAGGGGTGGAGATGGGTCACGTATTCTGTTAGGCGAGTCTAACAGAATAACAGAATTGGAAGGGACCTTGGAGGTCTTCTAGTCCAACCCCCTGCTCAAGCTAGAGACTCTATACCATTCCAGACAAGTAGCTTGCTCATCCCCATGTGCCTGGACAAGGTCTCTGGTGGCTCTTCTTCAAAGCTTCCAATGATGGAGCATCCACAACTTCTGGTGGCATCCCATTCCACTGGTTCACTGTCAGGAAGTTTCTCCTTAAGTCCAGGTTGCTTCTCTCATTGCTTAATTTCCATCCGTTGTTTCTTGTCCTGCCTTCTGGTGCTTTGGAAAATAAGTTGATCCCCTCTTCTTGGTGGCAGCCCCTCAAATACTGGAAGATTGCTCTCATGTCCCCCCTGGTCCTTCTTTTCTCTCGACTAGCCAAACCCTCTTCCAGAAACCATTTTTCACATGTCTAAATCTCCAGCCCTCTAATTCACATTTGTTGCTCTTCTCTGCACTCTTTCCTGAGTCTCTACATCTAACATCTTGTTCAGAAGAAGAAAAGATATCAAAACATTTGCCAACTCCTTGAATAACATCCCAGCTTTTTTCTCTGACCCTTAAAGTGGGCTTCCTTCAATCCTTACACACTACCTGGCATCTTCGTTCTCGCTAGGGTTTGGCAAAAACAAACCCCACAGAGCATTTTCAAATACAGAACAAAGCAGATCCACACCAAGAAAGAACATCGTCCTTCAGTCGAGACAAAAATTCAAAAGGCTGTGTTGCTTTCTTTGAGAAGAAAACCCCCAAACTTCTTAAAAACGCCCAAGTTTTGTCCCAAGCTTGAAACACTCAAAAAATAAAGACCCATCTCAGGGATGAAATCTTTTGCATGCTTTAACTCCCCATGCTTATAAAAAGAAAACAAGCCAGTACTCACTGACATGTCCCTGTTCCGTTTTGATAGGTTTTACACTTTCCACCATTCAAGCAGGATTCGGAAGGCTGGGTACATCGCAAACCTGCAAGGAGAGAAGAGACATATTTTCATGGCACTGGTGAAGCTCAACCACAGGATGGAAGATGTCAAGGGAGGGCCAGAGACCATCTAGGATCTTTAACAGATTAACAGAGTTGGAAGGGACCTTGTAAGTCATCTAGTCCAGCTCACCCAAAAAGGAGTCTGCACCATTTCTGACACAGGGCAGTCCAGTCTCTTCTTGAAAGCCTCCAGTGATGAAGCTCCTACAACTTCTGAAGGCAACTTCTGTTCCACAGGTGAATTGCTCTCACTCTCAGGAAATTCCTCCTTATTTGGAGATTGAATTTCTCCTATCCTAATAGTATAGGTAGCTGTCCAGTCTTTTCTTAAAACTCTCCAGTGATGGAGCAACCACAGCAATGACAAGCTGTTCCACTAGTTAATTGTCCTGCCTGTCTGGAAGTTTCTCCTTATTTCTAGGTTGAATCCCTCCTTGATTAGCTTCTATCCATTGTTTCTTGTCCTGCCTTCTGATGCTTTGGGAAATAGCTTGACCCCTTCCTCTCTGTGGCATCCCCTCCAGTATTGGAAGATGCTATTATGTCCCACCTGGATCATTTTTATGTCCCACCTGGATCATAAGAGCCAAGGTGGCGCAGTGGTTAAATGCAGCACTGCAGGCTACTGCTAGATCAGCAGGTCAGCGGTTCAAATCTCACCGGCTCAGGGTTGACTCAGCCTTCCATCCTTCCGAGGTGGGTAAAATGAGGACCCAGATTGTTGGGGGCAATATGCTGACTCTCTGTAAACCGCTTAGAGAGGCCTGAAAGGCCTATGAAGCGGTATATAAGTCCACTGCTATTGCTATTGCTATTTTCTTCCCTATACTAGACATGCCCAGTTCCTGCAACCGTTCATCGCCTGTTTAAGCCACCAGTCCCTTCATCATCCTGGTTGCTCTTCTCTGCAGTTTTTCTAGAGTCTCAACATCTTTTTCATTAGTGTGGTGACCAAAACTGGATGGAGTTTTCTAGGTGTGGTCTTACTAAGGCTTTATACTGGTAGTAGTCCCTCACTTGATCTTGATTGTATCCCTCTGTTAATGCAATTTAGGATTGTGTTGCCTTTTTGGGCTGCCACCACATGGCTGGCTCCTATTTAGCTAGTTGTCCACTAAGATGCCAAGATTCCTCTGTCAGAGGGCTATTAAGCCTGGTTTCACCCAGTCTATCTGTGTCTTTTTGGTTTTTCTTGCCTTAAGTGTAAGACTTTACTTTTCTCCACATTAAATTTCATTTTGTTAGATAGGACCCCAGATAGGATCTAGTGCAGCCTTGCCCCACTTCATGTGCTCCCAGATGCCAGGCTTCCCCTCCCCACACAGAGAATGGTGAGTTTATGGTCAATGCTCTGAGAACGCATCCGGTTGGGAAAAGTTAAATGACAGAGTTGGGATGTTAGTCATCTTTATATATGCAGGATTTCAGTGCTTTTGTAAAACAGCAAGGTTTCGTGGTTTTAATTTTTTTTATTTAATGGACCCGATTTTATTTCAAACACACTCCATTATATGCAAAGCAAAGCAATGCAAACAATCCATGTAGCAGTTGATGCAAATAACTTAAATTTCAAGTCAATGAACATTTGGAAAATAGAAGATTTGTTATACAGATTCAAGTGACCTTCAAAATTGCAATATTTCTTCTTCCCTCGACTGACAAGCATCTAAAAGCTCTACACCCATTTTACAGGCAGGGAATCAAAAGATAAATCAGATGAAGTTTCCAGAACATGAATCATAATGTAGCTTCTTAACTATGGCCTTTTCAGGTGATTTCCAAATAATGAAGAGTCATAATTGGAACCAGATCTCTGCTTTTGCAGTTTATAAAATCATCAAATCTGCATTTATGTATTTGTATCCGACCTTTATTGTTTTTTAAAAATAAGCCAAGGGAGTGAACATATCCAACACACCTTCCCCCTCTGATGTTCTCCATAACAGCCCTGTGAGGTGGGTTGGGCTGAGAGAGAGGGACTGGACTCCCAGCCACCCACCTGCCTTTCATGGCTAAGGCAGGACTAGAACTCACCACCTCCTGGTGATTGGCCCTAAGTCACCCAACTGTCTTTCATGCCTAAATTGGGACTAGAATTCACCGTCTCCTGGTGATTGGCCCAAAGTCACCCAGCCAGCTTTCAGGTCTAACACAATGCTAGAACTCACTGTCTCCTGGTGATTGGCCCAAAGTCCCTCTGCTGCATTTTGTGCCTAAGGCAGGACTAGAACTCACAGTTCCTCCACTTCTAACCCTTAAAACCATTACATCAAACTGGTTCTTTGTCCTACAAGAATGGCTTGCTGTACATCCAGGAAAGCATCTTAAAAGTTTGAGTTTCCTCAGCTTCATAAACAATGGTGTAAATGACCATCCGTGGTTTGCCACTGCCCTTCCCAGCATGAGATTCCTCCCCTCCCCAGTTCTAAGTGGCCTTGGCTCTACCCCCGGTTTAGCTATTCAGAGATTAACCAAGTTGGTTTGTGGGGGAGAGGGAGGCCCACAGAAACCCACCCAGGAAATTCCAGCTTAGCAGTTCTCATAAATATACGTAGCTCTTCTGAAAGTTTTCTCTCGGAACAAAGCAGATGAAAAGGGAAAACCACTTCATGGGGTAGGCTGGCATTATGGGATGGCAACTGGGAGTCCGTCAGGGGGTCGCCAACCATCGCTATAAATTCCAGCATCTCTTTGCCAGAAATCCTTTGAGATTGGAAAGAGAGCGTTGGGTGTCTTCCATCACTAAAGATGACAATCTTAGCCAAACTGAACAGATGCCAAGTTCCAAGCTTCTTCCTCGGTTCTGGGAAACTCGGTTTCAGCTTAAAACCACCGTAAGATGTGTGGACTTCAATTCCCAGAATGGCTGGCTGGGGAATTCTGGGAGTTGAAGTCCAAACACCTTAAAGCCGCCGAACTTGGAAAACACGGCTCTACGGACCTGCCAGTTTGAGTCAAAGGAGACTTTCTTTCTACAGGAATAACTAAGCATAATTCAGCATGCAGGCAAGGGAATTCTGGGAGTTGAAGCCCAAACATCTTAAAGTGGCCGTGTTTGAAAATCATAATTTACCACGGTTTGCACCAGTGGTGGCTTGCACATTTCGTTACCACCAGTTCACCAGGCACGCCTGCACCTTCTGTGCATGTGCCCGGCCACAAAAACATGCCTAAACAGGGCAGCATAGAGCCGTGGCTTGTGGGCAGGCCCACTCGTGATTTCTACTATCAGTTCGGTGGAATCCCACCTCTGATTTGCCTAAGTTCCCCAAACACCAAAACTGGGGCAAAACTAGGAATTCTACTACAGGGTGTTGTGAGGACTTCATGGAGCAAACTAACAGGGGCTAGGCTCAATTTTCCCCTGTTGGTTTGGCACTGTATGTTCCATCAACAGGAAAAAATGTATTTTGTTAACCCCGAAAAGTTTTTCTTGAGCTGCCTGAATCAACTCAAACTTTGTTTCGCTATGAGAGGTCTCAGAGACATTTTTTTTTCTGAATAGCCATTGACAGGAAGAGCAGATGAGTTTTTTTGTCCTACGACGGTAAAGGTCTTTTTTTTTTAAAGGGAAATTTTCTTTTTAATAAAACACCAAGAAGAATGCCAATCACAGAGTGGGCTCTAAATAGGACCCCATCCGCACAGCATGGTTTAGATATCTCTTGTTTACACCGTTAATTGGTTTGGCACATATTAACAGAGGATTATAGGTTTACCAACTATTAACAGCTTTGCACATTATGTTTAGCCACAATCGAGCTGCACGTTAAGTACAGGAAGAGTTGCTAGCCCTCTAAAGCCATCCAATGAAATTAAGATTTATTATTTGTCAAAGTGCAATAAAGGAAACCAATGTGATGCAACAACAACAAAAAGAAAAGAAAAACCACACCATAAACTGCTAAAGCACAGGCCTGCCTGTCTGGGTTAGGCATTAAATGCACACTTGTTCCATTGCCTGCAATGAGGAAGGATTCCTCCTCCTCCCAGGTGACCTTGGCACGGAAATGTTCGTGAACTGGAAGGAAGAAGCTGGTTACTTTCAGGTCCTCTCAAGAAATAAGGAAGTGTCTTTGTCTTGGGGGCATCTGAACAAGTCGACTTTGGTGCCACTTTGGTGAGCCGCCAAATATAGACTGAACAACCTTAAGTAACAGAATAAAAGAGTTGGAAAGGACCTTGGAGTCCAACCCCCTGCTCAAGCAGGAAACCCCATACCATTCCAGACAAATGACTGCCCAGTCTCTTTTCTAAAGCCTCCAGTGATGGAGCATCCACAACTTCTGGTGGCAACCTGTTCCATTGGTTCATTGTCCTCACTGTTAGGAAGCTTCTCCTTAATTCCAGGTGGCTTCTCTCCTTGATTAGTTTCCATCCATTGTTTCTTGCCCTGCCTTCAGGTGCTTTGGAAAATATTACAGAATATTACAGATTAACAGAGTTGGGAGGGACCTTATAGGTCATCTAGTCCAACCTCCTGCCCAAGCAGGAGACCCTACACCATTTCTGACAAATGGCAGTCCAATCTCTTCTTGAAAGCCTCCAGTGAGGAAGCTTCCACAAATAGGTTGACCCTCTTCTTTGGGGCAGCCCCTCAAATATTGGATCACTGTGATCATGTTGCCCCAAATCTTTCTTTTCACTTGACCAGATGTATCCAATTCCTGCAACCGTTCATCCTATGTTTTAGTCTCCAGGCCTTTAGTGATTTTTGCTGCTCTTCTCTGCATTCTTTCCAGAGTCTCAAAAAAGTCTCAAAACTACCCCAAAGCTGTCACAAAGGAAAATAAATCAACTTGGAGCTGAAGTCCAGCAGAATACAAAATTATGTTTACCAAAATTTTAAAAACACCCTTTTAATCTAGTACAATAATCCTGTCATAGGCCAATCAGCTTAAAAGAGCACAAAATGAGCCATTATGACTGCAGGGGGGAGGGGGGAAATTGGAGCAAAGCCAAGCCCCCAAAAGAATTCCTATCTATTAAGTTAAGCCACGGTTTGCTAAAGAAGCCATTATGGCTGGCTCACCACATCAAACTCCGCAATCCATGAAGCCAAGGGGGTCGACCAGGCCAGCCCCACTGGAGACCCACTGGTCCCAGGGCAGAGGAGGGAAGGGGTCTGCAGGGAGGGAGGGGTTAAAAAAGACATGATGGTCCCCATCACCATGCAATCAAAGCCCCTGCCCTTTTTTTTAGCATTCACAAGTATCTCACGGTGTGTGTGTGTCTTTGTGTCCCCCTGGCCTGCACCAGAAAAAAAGGGCTGGGGTAACCGCCAACAAGGGAGAAGCGAGTCAAACTATCAGGGGGTCTCTTTGCTCCCATCAGAAGGGGAGAAAGCAGCTGGGCTGCAAGCAAGTTCTGGTCCTGGGGCTTGTAAAATCTGGGCATTCCTGCGCCCTCAAACGAGAGCAAACGTCCTAACACCTGTGGCTCTGTTAAGGCGCTCACAGATGAGGCTTTGGGGGATCTCCCGCGAAAGGCTGTCATTCACAGCAGTGAAAATGCCCCCCTTTCTTTCTGGGCGGTTGGGGGGGACACACGCACCAGCTTCCTGGAGCAACGCCCTCCCCCCCCCCCAGTCTGGCTCGGCGGCGGCTACTCGGCGTTTTCTGCAAATGGGGCTCAGCTCGGCGCGTGGGAAAAAGCAACAGCTGTGGCGCTCGCAGCCCCTGCCCAGACAAAGAGGGGACTGGAGCCCCCACCCACCCACCCAGCGTCCCTCGGGAGCCGCCTGCTGCCGGCCGGAGCGGACTGAGCTGGCACGGGGGTGTCTGTGGGTGGGTGGGGGGAAGCCACAAGCCAGCCAACCCGCACGCGAGACACCCACGCATGCAGCTTTTGAGCGAAAGGAAAAAAAGGCAGCTTGCTTAAAGTCCTTCTCAACTTACAAGAGTTCATTTAGTGACCGTCCAAAGTTACAACAGCACTGAAAAAAAGCAACTGAGGACCGTTTCTCAGTTACGATCACTGCAGCATCCCCACATGATCACATGATCAAAATTCAGGCGCTTAGGGATTCATATTTATGACCATGATCCCCTTTTGCGACCAGCGAAGTCCATGAAGGAAGCCAGTTCCACTTAACCACCGAGTGACTAACTTATCGACTGCAGTGATTCACTTAACAACGGCAGCAAAAGAGGTCGTAAAACTCCCTTAACAACAGAAGTTCAATTGTGGTCGTAACTCGAGCACTCCCTGTACAGAAGTGCAAAGCTAGAATTGCCCTTTGTGAAAGCAAAATAAAAAATAATAAAAACCAGCGAAAGCGAAAGCAGACGCTGCCCCAGGAAGCCCAAACCAACTTCCCCTTCACTTCCCGAAAAAGGCAGCGGTGGAAAGAGTGCGGGGGCACCCCGTCTGCCTTTGGGGGAGCCCGAGTGGAGCCCCTGGGGCAGAAGATGCCCCCTTTCCTTAAGAAAACTCCAGTTTCCATGCCCCACTTCCAGTTCTTCCCTTCAGCTGGTCCAGGAAGGAGCCCTTTTCCCTCTCACTCCAATACAGACCTCAAAAGAAGAGCAAAGAGGTGTTTCCTCCCCCTTCTTCCAAAGAGGCCAGAGGGGGGCTCTGGGGCAGACCCACCGCACCGCTTTCTGGCCACCCTGAATCACGCCAGAGGGAGAGGAAAGGCAGCCCAAGGAACAGGCCCAACAAAAAGGCAAATGATAGGGGTGGGTGGGAGCACTTTAGAGGGGCAGGGTTGGCACCAGAGTCCCACCCTGCAGCCCCCCCCCCCCAAAAGACCAGAGTCCAACCATCTCCAGAAGCCTGTGGCAGGAGACCTCTTCAGAGAGGTGCCAGGTTTTGGCCTTCCTCGCCAGCATTGGTCAATTCTGAACAGCCTGCCAGAACTCCTGGTTTAAGTTGGGGTCTCATCTCTATCACTCAGTGACCGCGATGCCCCTTGACAACACCAACCTTTGTCCGAATGTCCATCAAGAGCTGAGCTCACACCAGCCCAATGCCTGGTTTTTTTCAACCCTGTCCTTGAATGGCTGGTGAAGAGGACAGTAATACAAGCCCATGGATTTGCCATACGTGAAATAAATCTGGCCCAAGATGAAGGATTCCCCACCACCACCAGATGGGTGTGAAACCCACAGGCGACCCACCCCAAGACCTGAACGTGGGTCGCCCACCTCCTCCGGTGCTGCAAATAGCTACCCCTCCAGGCCTTTCTTCTGCCTGGCTTCCTTCCAAAGCCTTGGCCAGCATCTGAGGCAGCCTGGAGCCTTCCTGAGTTATGCCGGACTACAACCCCATCACCAAGCCAGGACGATGGCAGCTACGGAAGGCTTAGGGGAGCATGTGGGGGGGGCTGGATGGTTTGGGCTGAGCCCACCGACTCAAAAACCCCAAATCGAAGCTTCCAAACCTCACCTGTGTGTGGATATACCACGCACAACCTGTGTATCCCCGAATTAAGGGGGAGCACCACGTGGCTCCCCAAGACAACTTTTGATCAACTTCGAGTTCAATTCAATGCATGTTGGGGAGGGGGAGAGGGCCCATCAGCCACAGCAGCTTCCCCGTTCAGAGAATCCAAGCCAAGTTCAGCAGAAGGCCAGAGGAGGAGGAAAGGTGTGTGTGTTGTGTGTGTCTGTCTGTCTGTCAATGGCTTCCCCCTCCCCCTCTTTTCCTTCCCCCTCCCTCCTTGGCCTTTCCAAAGCCCACAGGTTGGTCTTTGAAGTCTTCTTGCTTTCTTTCCACCTGTGTGGCTGCTTTTCCCCAAAATCTCACACTTCAGCCCCCAAAGTCATCAGTTAAAAGAATTAAAGAAAAAAAACCAGAAAAAGGAAGAGAGGAGGGGAGGGGGGTTGTACAAGGGAGGCCAGGACAGGAAATCTGACGCAGAGTCACAAAAGTGGTTGAGAAAGAAACACACACACACGAACACGCACACACACAGGCTGCGCCTTCAGTTTCCCCAGTTGGTCTTTGCACACACACACAAAGTTCTCCCCACAAAGGGGGCCAGAAGGAGCTGCCAGGAGACCCCCCCCTGTCCCGGCTTCTCGGGGCGCCCCCGGCAGACCTTTCCCCTTCCCCTGCCAGGGTCCCTCGGCCCAGCCCCGCCGCCTCCGCCCCGATCGCCTCCCCAGCCGCTCCTGCCCGGAGCCCTTCAACGACGGGGCGCTCATGGGACTGGGGAGGGGTCGGTTTGCCACCCCCGGGGACTCCCGCTCCCATGGTTCCCGGCCAGGCGGAGTCCGGCGGGAGGGAAGGCACTTTTCCCAAAGTTCAAGCGGGCAGCCCGCTCCAAGAGCCGCTGGGAGAGAAGCCGGCGAGCCGGTCGGGGCGGTTTTGCCTTTTCTTTTGAAAAAGGGGAAAAGGGCGAAGTTGCGCGGAGAGAAGACGGAGGAGAAGGAGGAGAGGAAGAAAGGCGGAAAGCAGCGGCGGCCGCCCCGAAGCGCCTCTTTCCCTTCCCTTCCCCCGGCGGGGTGAGCGGCGGGTCAGCGGAGAGAGTTTTACCCCAGCGCCCGACCTTCCTCCGCAGAAACCCGACGGCGAGGACTCCCCTTCCCATCCTCCGCAGCCGCCGGGGAGGATGGGACATGGAGCCGGGGCAGGGCGAGCCGTGGAGACCCCCGGGGGGAAGGAGGGCGCGCTTCCCCACCGCAAGAACCTCCGGGCGATGCGGTTGAAACCCTGGCGGATCCCAGCAAGGTAGACTGCGCCCGTCCAGGGAGGCTTCCCCCGCCCGTAAGACCCTGCCGTTCTCTCCCCGTCCCAGAAGCCGCCCTACCTGCAGCGGAGGCGGGCAAGACGGCCAGCAGCAGCAGCCGCAGAAGCGGCAACCCCGGGAAGCGGCGGCGGCTCCGTCCCCGCAGGGGTTGCATCCCGCCGCCTAACTCCGCGGCGCTCCGGCCGGGGGCTTCCCGAGGACCGGCGTCGGCTCCGGCCGGGATGGGATCCCTCCTTGGCGGGGGTGGGGGACTGCGCCGAGACGCCGCGCCTGCGAGGCTCTTTTGCGGGGGAATCGGCTCCGCTGCGCCGCCGCCGCCGCTGCAGAAAAGGGGAACTTCTCGGCTGGCCGGGAAGTTTGCAAAGAGGGCGGGAGGGCGCGCGCGAGGCAGGCTGGCTGCCGGGGCGGAGGGACGGGGGCGCGGCTTGCCTGGCATCCGAAGGCGGGGGCGGGGCCTGCAGGGCCAGGGGCTCCTCCCCGGAGAGCCCCCCCCTCCCGCGTCCTCGGCCGCCCCCTCCGCGGGAACGTCCCGCCACTGGAAGCTAATACTAACTTTATTATTTATTATTATTATTTAATTATTTATTATCTATTATTTATTATTGATTAGTATCTATTATTTATTATTTTGTATTATGTACTTCGCATTTATTATCTATTACTTATTATTTATTATTTTGTATTTATTATCTATTATTTATTATTTTGTATTATGTACTTCACATTTATTATCTATTACCTATTATTTATTATTGTTTTGTATTTATTATTTGTTATTATCTATTATTTACTACTTATTATTTATTTTCTATTATTGATTATTGATTATCTATTCTCTATTCCTTATTATTTTGTATTTAATATCTATTCTGTATTCCTTATTTTGTATTTATTATTTATTATCTATTATTTATTATTTTGTATCATGTACTTCGCATTTATTATATTACCTATTATTTATTATCTATTACTTACTATTTATTATTTTGTAGTGGCTAAAATGCTGAGCTTGTCAATCAGAAAGGTCAGTAGTTTGAATCCCTAGCACCACATAACGGAGGGAGCTCCCACGACTTGTCCCAGCTTCTGCCAACCTAGCAGTTCAAAAGCATGTAAAAATGCAAGTAGAAAAATAGGAACCACCTTTGGTGGGAAGGGAACAGCATTCCATGCACCTTCAGCGTATAGTCATGCCGGCCACATGACCAGAGAGATGTCTTCGGACAGCGCTGGCTCTTCGGCTTTGAAACGGAGATGAGCACCGCCCCCTAGAGTTGGGAACGACTACAACATATATGCGAGTAGTATTTTTACCTTTTATATGAGCTTGTGGTTGGGTCTAGGACAGTGTTTCTCAACCTTGGCGACTTTAAGTCCTGTGGACTTCAACTCCCAGAATCCCCCAGCCAGCTATAGCTGGCTGGGGGATTC